ATTGGCTTAATTTAATCAGACACAAGCTTCTTGCTTCAAGGCCATTCAGATTAAAATATTCATATTGTATATTTGGAGCAGCCGCATAGGTTCTTTAAGTAGCTTGATGCTAATTCGGCCCAGCTACGTCACGATTTTTTGTGATGGGTTCACATTGATTTAGCAATCAATTGGTTCTATAAGGTGTAAATGCTCCTTTGAAAAAACTTTTATGTAAGTTCTTACTTATTATTATATATATTTCGTTTAGCAAAAATATTAAAAAGAAAATGGAAACCAATCTTTCGAAAGTCAAGACCTGGCACGTTATATTTAATCTACTTAGTACCTATGAAGGGACCAATTTCAATTAATTATTATTTTGAAATTAATTTATATTGAAAAAATGTTGATGGCTGCTTACTTTAAACCCATTTTAAATATATACAGCTTTAGAAATTAAGTACAATTTTGACTGAGCACACTTTTTATGATGTTAAAATACATTCCAATATTTTATAAAAGTTTTTAACTGACAATGACTATATTAGATTAAAAGTAATCATAAAACCTATTTTGTATACAGCTTTAGAAATGAAGAATATTAAAAAGAAAATGGAAACCAATCTTTCGAAAGTCAAGACCTGGCACGTTATATTTGATCTACTTAGTACCTATGAAGGGACCAATTTCAATTAATTATTATTTTGAAATTAATTTATATTGAAAAAATGTTGATGGCTGCTTACTTTAAACCCATTTTAAATATATACAGCTTTAGAAATTAAGTACAATTTTGACTGAGCACAGTTTTTATGATGTTAAAATACATTCCAATATTTTATAGAAGTTTTTAACTGACAATCACTATATTAGGTTAAAAGTAATCATAAAACCTATTTTGTATATAGCTTTAGAAATGAAGTATACATTTTATTAAGTATGGTATTTTAATGATGTTGTCAATATACCAACACTTTTTATTTATTTATATACGACTTTTAAACCAAACAACGAAGTATCACAAAGCAGTAAGACTGAATTGAAGTATTCATGTGTTCAAAGAAAGTTACAAATATTAATTACCTATGTATTTAACTGGAGTATTTGATTTAGTTGCACAATATACATACTTGTTACATTCTTCCTATAAAAGTAGAAAATTAAGGTCTTGTTTAGATGACACGCGTACGCTACACAGGCCCCGCCCTATTGACTTATGACATAAATAAATCTCAAGTTCCATTTATCGCATATGCCACGAATACGCCTTGCACCTGAGCTTGGGCTATTGTGGGAATAGTGCTTAGAAGAAAAGATACTACGCGTGTGTGGGTCTTGTTGACCTGTTCGTGGTGGACGCAGATCATCTGAACACACTTGGGCAACGGCACCGCTATTGGCTGTTGACAAAACACTGCACACATTTTTTAATTAATCCATCGATAAACGTATTCTTCGCCTGTTAAGTAATAAATGATGCTTTAACTTGTATTGTTGCAAGTTGTCCATAAATTTTGCACATTAATTCATTTGAGTCAGTATTATTAATATTCTTCTACAATATAGATTTTTTATAGCTTAATTTATTTCATAGTAGTCCTATTTACCAGGACAGATTTTTCAATGCTACTGCTAGCTCGTTGCAGTGCTGAACTTAACTAATTATTCAAATAAAAAAAATCTTTTATACTAGAAAATCACTTCATCCCATTTAAAATTAGTGGAGTCCACTTGCGAAGATAGCTAATGCGGCAGAAAGATGTTACCCTCTGCCCGTCTTTACTTTGTCGCCGCGAACTGGAATCTCCTAATAATAGCCCCGTGGTTCCCTAGAGAGCCTTGCTCTACTCATGCCAAAAACACAACATTGGTGTCGATTCTAGCGTGATTCTCTAAACTTAAAACTATATTTATAATCGTTCTGTCCTTTTCATTCTGTATAAATAATGACAAGGCTACACTGTTGTCAAATTTAAGTTAAGGTTTAGAATCACGCTACAATCGACACCATTATCTACCAAAAGGTTGTGTTATTATAATGAGGTTTCCTGTAATGCTAGAATAATTACTTTACAAGACTATTCCTATTTGCCATATCTTAATTTGACAGCAGTATAATATCCTTGTCACACTCTATTCGCTATGTGCACGACAGTAGCGCCACCTACAATGCGCAACTTTCCGGGATTATGCCAAATAATGACATCAGTTTGTATTTTATTGATTTCTAGTAACTATAGTAAATTAAAGATAAATAAAAAATATTATATATTGTATAATAATTTAAATACTGTCGGATTTCAATTCGGAATTCAGTACAGTCAATAATAACTCTTGTATTGATGTAATCTGGACTGAAACACTTGGGCATTGTTGCTTGTACGGTGGCTCTATTCCGCCAAAAGATTAAATTAGCAGTTGAACAAGCTACATTTTGTAAGATCGAATGAAATATACGTGAGATTGTGGTTTTGTGTACACCAAATAACACACTCAATGCTGAAAATGTCAAGCCAGTTTTCATTGTTATCAAAAAAATCAGAAGTCGGTCTTTAGTGGAAACTGTACAGTTTTTTTATAGTTAATAAAAACTCAAAATTGCTAAATGACACACCAGCAAGATCTAGGAGTTCTTGATCATTTTTTATTGATGAAATACCAACAAATTCTTGACTTTTTGTTTCGGTAGATTGATCCTCATACGATTTTTTGTCAGTGCCACAGCTTTTATCTTTATTTCTTAAATTATTTGTCATTAAAATTCTTGATGTTGCTATATCTGCTTGGATTTCAGCATCACAGTGATCGTTGTAAATTAATCTAATACAAATAAAAATTGTATCTCTTAATTTCGATTCAGAAAACATATTGACTTGACATACTTGATCGACCATAAAAGGTTGAGTTTGATTTAATTATTATTTGACTTGATGTGGTATCTGAGACTTTGTGGTTCATCGTTTTGTCAAGTGTGTATATCTAGCTAGGACCTGTGAATCATTAACCTTCCTCTTTCGATATATTTCAGGGAATATTCGAAGGAGCATAACTCGGATTTTCTTCCTCGTCTGATTTTTTTTTCCCATAAAATGTTCACTACAAATTGTGTCGTCAGGTTTGGGATACCATGGTGACCCATCTACACTAAAATAATAAAGAAAATAATGAATATCACATAAAATATAGCGCAAATAAAATTGATCATAATTTATGGTTATTTCGCTTACTTATTTCTTTTTATGGCATCTATCCACTTATTTCTTTGATTTAATTTCCAGTCCAATGTAGGAAATATAAACACAGACTATTTGTGCCGTTATTTTTGCAGTTCACAACACAACAACATCTATTATTAGGCTTTTTAAAAAATCTATTTATTACGAACTCCGTGCAAATTGACTTTACTTTCCCGGATTGTTGCGTATTTCTGCCACGATAAGCGCTGCGATCGTTTCACAATACCCCCACCATGTACTTCGCACATAGCGAATAGGGAATGATAAACAGAGACTGTTGCGAAATTTAGACAAGGCAAATATAGGAATATTCACGTCACAAAAATTAACTACTCAGGCAGGAAAATCAGCTTTATTCTGACGTAGTTTTTTTTAGCTAGTCTTAATCCCACCTTTAAGTTTGCTTTAAAATTAACGTGCTTAATATTTTGACGCAATTGTGATGACGAATGACATTTTTATAGATTTTAAATCAGATTATGGTCATCATGACATGTTTATGAACCAAGGCACCACTGGTTTGCAATTCCATTCCTACCCTTGTTAGATATTAATTTACAAGCCCAGTGCTTCAAAGGATTTCAAAGAACAATAAATATTTATTATAATAAATTATTTAATTACCTAATTATTTACTAGTTTAGTACATAAAGTACTTAATTAAGTTACCAGATGCTATAGAATTTGATTTCGAGTTTTTTTGTTTATTTTTTTAACTACCACTACCTACCACAATAGTTTTTTTTATGCTTAAGCCAAAGTGGAATACATTGTCACCATCAGTGTTTCCGGTCCAATACGACCTGAAAACCTTCAAAAGCTTGAAACAAGCGACGTGACGCGTCATGTTTTTTCGCCTGTAGCAAATTCATTTTTATTTTCCTATTTAAGAATAGCGCCGACGCGCGATTTCAGCCTCATTTTTGAGGCTTATTTTCCCTACTAGCTACTTAGTGTTGATTATATTACAGGTTATCGGGCTCCGTAATGATCCCCACACCACCTCTCAGTGGCTTCATTTGATTTCTTAATGCAAACCCCTATACACCTCTTTGTATTTGCTTCTAAAACTAGACTTTTAAGAACCTAGCGAGGGTACGAGACCGAAAATGTTGTTTGTCAATTAAATTACAATAGACAGACGAAGTCGCGGGCGTCATACCCAAAGTAAATAGAGCAAGTTCAATAGATATGAACATTAAAAGCGCCCTCATTACGTATTAACAAGATTGTTATTCTGATTACATTTTAAAGATATTCAATAGTAAAGTATTCACTTTGTGTATTTTACCTGTTTATACACACACACATACTTAGACAATGAAAAATAGGTTAATTTATTAAACGTGTAGGTTAAGATATAATTATTTTTAGTCCTACCTAATTGTGTGCCGTCCCTTATGTTTATAAATAATTTATAAAGATTAAGACAAGGATAAGTTATAATTTTGTACCGTCTATATTTACGTTTGAAAAGTAATAAATATATTTCTAATTATATTATTGGCGTTTTATTATTTTTTAAATACCTGTTGAAGGTTTTTTTATATTTTCTAACAAAACGAAAAATTTGTTGTTTCTTTTTTAAATTAATATCACGACAGAAAATGCAGGAGTTTTTCATTGTTATTATTATAAAGTAGGACAGCTAATTTTGTTTTTGACGATATTAATAAATTACCCATCACTGACTACTTTAGCTGAACGCCGATAAAGTTAATTAATTTACCTCGTGGTTGGTTTTCATCAGTAGATTAATAAAATCAATGAAACTGGCATATTTTACACATAAAATATATTTATAATAACCACAATATACAAAACAACAACAACATCATAGAAGCTATATTTTTTATAAATATCTAGCATGACTTTAAGTTTATTACTATTTGGCTATGGTAATCGGTAACATCAATAAAAATATAGATTTTTAATAGGTTAAGTTTACTTTTTCAGTCAATATTAAAATTATTCTTAAACTTAATGAATTTTAAAAGACGTAGTTGGGTACTCAAAACTTAGTACATATTAGGAAGGTAGTAGTACCTAATGAAGAAGTTATAACAAAAAACAATAGTTTCGTATTTCCATTACGCAAGCTAGACATATCTGACTTGTTAGGCGCGGGACAAACAGAAAGGACTCAGACGGGGCACGGACATTGTCAGTTTCATACAAAATATAGAAGCTCCGTGTCTTGTTTTGCGACGCGACGTTTCTACACTTTATAAAGGACACGGAAGAGACATGTCCTCCACATGGCCCGCGCCTTATGTAAGTTTGCCAGGCGGATTTTCAAATATCATTGGCACTAGAACTCTTATTTTAACATCTATTACGATACCTACGAGCAACTAAAAAGTTTTGTTTGTTTTTACTGCACTCATTCGAACAGTTCCACCTAAAGTACAAAAGTCTTACCCAAATATAGAAGCATCCGGTTTCGACGTTCGTTTTTTCAACGTTAAATTAAAAGGTATCGTAATAAGTGATAAAGCTAGATTAATATTATTAAGGTTGGTCTCTAACCTAAATTCTACACACAGCGTTCCGTTATGTTTACAATAAAAAAAAAGTATGTGTATGAAACTGAACTGTGCCATGTACCTACCCTGTTCTGTTTCTGTGACTAGCCCGTTCGGGACACGACATGAAGAACTGGTAGCGCGCAACGGTTCATTGTGCAATGAAAAATATTTAATTAATAAATTAAAATAAAGAAATCTTGCATACAAAATAAGGTAGTTACCCTAGAAACGCCTGTCAGACTGTACATAGATGCCTCATGTTTCATCTTCACAATAACAAATCAACCATGAATAACAATCATTTACACCTCTCGAAGTGCCTAATGACATTTATAATTAAGTAGCTATTTACATAGGTAATTAAAATACATTAGAATGTTAACATTTATAGATGAATATACTTATACAGCTATTTTACAACTATGTATAACTTCCTGAATTTTATAATTACGTTATTTTATTATCACAATTACATAAGCTATCTTTTCGTTTGGTAAATGATACATTATTTGACCCGTGGAAATTTCGGCACGTTATATTAATTTTTAATGACAAGTGAGATGATGAAGTTGAAATATTAAATCAGCTGAAAATATAGAAACAACATAATAATGGCCAGTGGCTGAATTTAATTTTAAAGGATATCATTTTAAATTCTACAAAGAACCTAGAATTAAATATTCTCCTTCAATGAACAATTTCCAAATTCAATCATAACACGTAACTTATTCGAGACTTATCAAGCACAGGACAATGATATTGTCCCTAATCTTAGACAAACAAATTATTTCTATTGCTATATTAACTACATATTCTACTGCACATAGCCACAGTATGGCTGTTTACATAAAAGATTTAGCACATGTGGATACGATGGGAATTTTTATTCGCATTTATGGATTTGAAACAAAGAAATAATAGCTGCTCTGTTATACCTTTACGGCTGCTCTCAGAGTCGTATTTTTTTTGTCCTTTCGCAGTGGGCGTGTCTGAGTTTTATACAAAACTAGTACCTACAGGTATTGCATATTGCCCGCGACTTCCGTCTGCGTGGAAATATTGGGTGCCTGAACAAACTTCCACACTTTTCATCCCCTTAAAGGTTTAACTCTAGTCTAATCCTATTATCAAAGGATAGTTTTTATCCTACATTTCAAAGTATAGGACAAAGGTCATCACTCGTAACTCAAACTAACTCTATACCAAATTTCATCTAAATCCGTTCAGCGGTTTAACCATGAAGAGGTAACAGACAGACAAAAACGCTTTTGCATTTATGACATCAGTATGGAAGAATGGATAGATGAAAGTGCCAGGCATTCCGCTGTACAACATGTAAAGATGTTGATGAAGTAATATTTAACGGTTCTTTATCTTAATAAAAAATACTATTTAGTGTGATGCATAAGACGAATCAGGCACAGACAAGGTAAGCATTTTAATACTAATAATCTACAATCGAAAAAGTTAGTGATTTGCCACTTTTATTATGAGCGATAGAAGGATAAAACTATAAACTGTCCACTAACTATTCAACTGTATGTATATTGATGAAAACCTACTTTGTATATAATACATATTCGAAAAGCGATAGTAAACAAGAGGAAACACGTTACTTTTTGGTATGTCAATGTAAATAGGTACGTACTTCCTGACATAAAATTATTTTTTATACACGTGGTACGAAAACATTTCAACATCATACATTTCTTATTTCAATTAAATACATAACATAATAAGTGTTTTATTTGTTTAGTTATTAGAATCTAAGAAACATAAAATTATAATAAATTTAAGGTTGTTATCACTAATACATCCACAGGATATCCCTCCGTGACTAATACGAATCTGTGATTATCGCTTTTACTGTTTGCTAATAAACACATAACACCTCGAATAAAACCGGTCCTGTACGAGTCGGATTCACGCATGAAAGGTTTCGTTCCGTTGAGCAAGGATTAACATCTCCAAACGGACAAAGATTCGAGTTTGGTCGGTCGCGGGAAGTTAAGATTTATACAGTTATTGCAATTGGATCGGCTACTAAAACTCTACTATCCATCTTCTTCTCGGTATCAAATAGCTTCTTTTCGAAATAAAATAGAGATTGATTTTTACGGGGAATGTTTTATTGAAAGAAAAAAGTGCATGTTTAAAACAGACTTGATTAGTGCTGAGCACATACCTATACGTACAGTAGAACGCCGATTATACGAATTAATTGGGACCGGGGTCGATTCGGATAATCGAACATAGACTGGTTATAAAGAAAAACAAACTGTCACACATAGAATAAACCTTAACCCCCTTATTAATAAACAAGGAATAAGCTTAGATTAGTTACGCCGTGTTTTGTTCATGTCACTCATATGCCATTTGTCATTCAATGAACAAAGACAAAACATGGAGTAACTTATCCAAGCTTATTTTTCGTTTATTAATAAGGGGGTATAAGTTTAATAAACACAGTTCTACAATACTAAATACAATAAACGAGGTACATAGTAGCAAAAAAAACGCGCTACGAAAAACATGTAATGTCTTGCCTCTAGCTTTCAACCATAACAGATGAAATATATCTGGACTCCAGTGAGTTCTAACTTGTTATAACAAAACAAAACAAAAATATCTTGTTTTAATTTTTTATATTACGCTTAGGACTGATTCGGATAATTGGCGATTCGGTTAATCGGCGTTATACTGTACCTATTTATGATTCCTTTTTGTGTACTTCTAAAGAGGCTCATTCACGATTTTGCATTAAGCAAGCCATACGCGGTAGGGTGAACCTGACATGTTTACCTATACAGTTCAACTGCACAGGTAAACTTGAGCTTAGTAAAGACCATATACGCAGGGGTAAACCTGCACAAATTTTCAGTTGAAACCATGACCCCGGCAGCGGCGCTTGATTTCAACACAGTAGCGTTTTTAGGTTATATTATTTGTTTTGCGAACAGTGCTGCAAAGCATGGTTCCTGCACAGAAAACAGTACTCTCATGTTAATTTAGAGAAACAATTGAAATTTAAGCCAACAGATTACCGCAATTATCTACGAATGGATAAAAATACGTAACTTTAACTGTTAACAGCAGCGACTCCCTTAATTGAGAAGCAAGATACAATATTGCCTCATCTAAGATTGACAGTGACGTAAGATACCTTGCAACAAGGAGAACATTTTATGCGTCAAAGACAATACTCTGATTTATAGATTTCTATAAACTCCTCCAGGACCTAGTTCCATTTACGAGACGACATTTTGTACTTATACAGTAGAGCGCCGCGCGTCCATCCCCTCTGACAATCACCGGACAACTGATACCTGCGCAGGCGACAACCACACACGCTCAGTTTTACCTACACAGTTAAACTGCACAGGTAGAAAATATCAAAATTCATATTATTTCAGTTCCTTCCTGTACAGGCGCAACTGGAAACCTGCGCAGTTATGTGACATACACGCTCCGGTAAACCCTAGCGTCTATGGCTTGCTTTACAGTCAGCCGTGCAGGACTAAAACTCATTCCTGCTTGGTGTTGCCGGACGCCATGCAGACTGCGACAACATTCACAATCCTGCATATAGCGGCGGACTGCTGTGATCGGTCCCTTTAGGGAGCACGAATGTTTAAAAACGGTTAAAAAAATAAGCTGACATAAGGTAAATTTTCAAAATCCAATTTCTGATGGGCTGTAATTAAAGAGGTTAAATGCTTAGTATCTCAGTCGATTTTAAGTGTATAGAAATACCTAAGTATATAAAATTTATATGGAATGTTTCGTTATCCGTTATACTGTTTAGTTGTATGTATATTATAATATTTATTTCGCACTCTCCGTTATCATTACATTTACGTTATTTTCATTAACGTCTGTCCTGATCACTCATAGACATAGATATTGGTTTAATTAAAATTCTTTCTGATTAATTATAATTAACGTGTAAAATTGTAAATACCCCTTTACGATTTAATACTAGGCTGTACTTTTGTGATCATGTAAAATAATATGAACTTAGTACTCTAAACTTAGTATAGATTATACACGTTCTATGGGAGACAACGCGATGGCAGTGGTGTAACTTTACTCTTTAGAATCATTTTCCTCACAACTTTTTTTACAGCAATCTCAAGCACAACAACGATAAGTAGAAAGAAATCTAATTTTACTTAGCCGCCCAGCTAAGAATTTTATGTTGTTTTTTATACAACCTTATTATTTAATTCCATATAAAATGAGCATACCTTCGGTGTTTGTTCAATCAATAACGTTTTTACATTCACGCTCCCAGTCGTTGGGGATAAGTGAATCAATATATTTTACAAACATGTCGTAAGGACATGGATCATCACAGAACGGCAGCTTTATTTCCATTGGCACTTCAACTTTTGTATTATTTCGATAGAATACCTGTAACAAACACAATTGTTATATTTTTTCTAACGAAAAAAAAATACAATGGCTATTACAGTAGAATCCGTTTAATATGATCACGCTTGTATTAATTTCTCGCTTAATACGCCATTTTGCGTCGGTCCCTGCAACTTGAGTTGAGACATGTTTTCATACATTTCTTAACGCTTAATACGATTCGTCATCCCGTTTAATACGCCTAAATCGCCAACACGTACCACACATATTACAACAATATACACACATATGACAATGTGGCACCATACCAAATTTATTCAATTCAAGATTTTATAGTTCATTATCACAAGACCCTAAGTGATAAAGATCAAGAAGAAAATGAATCAACTTCGGTTTTGTCACACGCCCAGGCATTATCAGTAGTTAATAATTTAAGACGCTATGTCAATTCTTTGAATCAAAGCGAAGAAGCAAAGCAAAAGTTAATTCTAGTGAAAATTTTGTAATTGCTAATGCTTCAAAATCTTTTTGTCAAACTAAAATTAGTGATTAATTTAATACAACGTAATAATAATACACTATTTTTTATAATGTACATAATTCTTAAATATTGTACCTATATTTAATACCTCAATAGGTACCTAATTCGAAATTTCCCTATCCCGCAATCCCGCTTAAGACGCGGTTTTGGTTGAGTCCCTGTGAAATCGTCTTAAACGGGTTTTACGGTATTTTATTTTATTTTTGGCGTAATGCGGGGCTTGCATTCGGCGAACGCAAGATTTGGCTGAGATGACTTTAATGGAGAAAGTGAACTTTCGCACAGTAATTAAAGGTGACGTGTTGTAAATAGTAAATACCTTACTAAGGTAGCAAAGAACTATTTTAAATGCGAGAGCTTTTTCCCTGTATACAGGGAAAACTCTCGCCTTTAAAATAGAGGTGATTTATTTTAATCACATACATTCGAAAAGAGCTAGTTATCTGTTTACCCGCACTAAAATAGCGTTTTAATCCCTAGGGACAAAATGTAATTTCAATTAGGAATGTGGATATTGTTAGTAATGACTTTTTGAACAAGTCAGGGTCACAACTTAAAAAAAAAAAAATACAAATGTGAAATACATTTTGCTTTTGTTCGTAAGTGTTTGCTCTAATTCGGATTAATTTGGTTTTATAAAAACCGGACAAGTGCGAGTCGGACTCGCTCACCGAGGGTTCCGTACTTTGTGGGTATGCAAAATAAACAGCTGTAAGTATCTTTTCTTACGTAAACTTAAAACCGGCCATTACGAAAGTTGGTTAACTTCCACAATCGCAAACAAAACGCGCTAACCACATGTCCCATTAAGTTCTCATCAGCTTAACTTACCTTAACAAAAAAGCTGGATTGTTCGATATCCTCATGCAGTTCCATCACAACACTAGCTCCATACTCTGGTTCCAGCAGCTCAGTGTAACCCAGCGCTCTCCACAATCCAACCACGTTCACATCATGACCAGAGTATAGAAACAGTGAGTGCTCTTCGCTGGCATGTCTCATTGACTCATCGAAAGATGTTTTAATTTCTTTGAGGAGAGGACCTGAGTGAATTGATATTGAAGAGCTCAGTTCGTTGTACTTTTGACATTGGTATTCACTTGCATGTAAAATCATATTAATTACTAGACTCAACTCACACAAACAGTGAAATAAATAGTAGATGGAGGATGTGCCAATTTGAGCAGAGTTTTCTTCTGTATTAGAAATTTTCATAAATAAGCATCTTATTACTTACCTACTTTGAAACGTTGTAATGTTTCATTATAGGACAACAAGGCTAAACTTAGCATGTATGGCATACGCATTTTATTGGGAAATACATTCTTAGTCCATTCAGGTAATTTTAGGCCTGCCTCTTGCTCTGTAAGCAGAGTACTATATAGAAAGTCAACATCAAGAACACTGTGCATACTCTGATTTGTGTGTTTGCTCAAATAATCAAATAATTCTGTAAATTTTGGGTCAGCATTTTTTTCTGCAAGTAATTCTTCATACATAGTTTTCCAAACTTTACATTCTTTTGTTCCAGCTACAATCTGGAAATGATAAAAATAACAATTCCTGTGGATTTATCTTTATTTTATCTCTTCAGCTATTCTTTAGTCAAAAGATACATGCTACCAAAAATAAATAACAGACATAGAAACCAATACACATTTAATAAATTGATAGCATTTTTGGATAGAACCACTTACTTAGGACTAAATAATTTGATGCAGTTCATACATAATATATTTATAAACTTACATTGTCTAATTCCCTAGGCAATGAATGTACAGGTATTGGTTGCCATGGTATTTCAGGATGCCACATTTGCCTCTCTGTTGGTGGAAACAAACCAGCAAGGAAAGTATATGCACTCATCATACACCGTGACTTATCACTGCTACGGATGTATACATCTTTTTCATAATATTCTTCATTTATGAAATTTGCATAGTAACTTCTATATTTCTTGCCAAGCTCATAAAGCTGAAGTTTCCCATGCTGTAAATAGCAGTTTTAGGAGTTTTATTCTTTACACATGATCACAAAATTTATAATAAATACTGGGCAGATAGTTGACCACATGTTAGCACTATACTCAATCGGAAAAAAAACAGCCATTTCTACTCACATTAGTGAGACTTCCCAGACCATCAGGCCACTGGTAGTTTTTGAAGGGATCGCTTTTGTAACTATGTGTAGGATTCCTTGCTCCATGTCTGAAAAACTGAAACATCACAGTATGTTTTATAAACATTGTTACATATGAATTAAGACACAGTTTTTACCTTAGAACAAAAGTTTTAATATAATATACTCACAATTATAACAAGACGTAAGGTTTTTGACTCATAGGGCAATGTTTCACTAAGCACACAATACCCAAGAAGGCAGCTCAGTACAGCTAGTCCCAGTACAATCACAGCCAAGGTAGTTGACCGTTTCGGTATCTGATGACATTTAGACCGCTGTACTTTCGGTTGTGAAGGTGTGCGCCATGTATTCTCATCATTATCATATTCCATTTCTATGTGATTGAACAGCTTCAGTTTCTATCACTTTAACTTCAATAAATGTTAAAAATTAGAATAAAGGTGTTTTACCCATATAATCATGGAACATTATTTTATTAAAAGAAATTCCTTTTTCTCATAGAAAGGGAAAATTATGATAAAAAATAAATGTTGGTTTGGAATTCGAGAGATCAACAAAATATCATATTTTTTTATAATAATTTTATTAGGCATGCGTCCGATATATCAAAACGAATCCAAAATCCGATTTCAAACACAAATCGATACCGAACGATTTCTCAACAAGAAAATCCGATTTCAGAAATCTAACCGAACCAAAACGCTAGCGATCTAATACCATAAGTATCCAAATGTAAATCGGATTCGAAATTCGTGCTTTCGTTTTCGGAAGTCAGATTTCGTGCTCGGAAGTCCGATTTCGATTTGCTGTTTACGGAAATCTATTGCTCTTCTCTGAGGCGGGATTATTTATCACTGAAAAGATATGTCGTCTAAAAACATCAAAAGTCGAGCAACTTACATTTTTGGACGCTAACCTGAAGTAATTAGGTTTGATTTTGTAAATGGTTTGAAAAATAATAAAAACAAACAGAAAAACAAAAAAAAATACTAAAAAAATATGTAAAAAGAAATCATTGTATATAAGTCGATTTTTAAATGCGCCGCAAAAGTTTTACTCTTAACCGTAAACATAACTTTTCTGCTAGTCCTAAGCGAAAATCTACGAGTATTCTTGCTTCCTACAATTAATTGTTTGTGATTGTCGTTAGCTAATAAAACCAAATCATAACACAAACTAGTGAATTGGCTAAGTTTGGCACATCTGAAATCGGATATCTAAAAACGGATTTTAAAATCGATTTTGAAATCTGAAATCCGATAAATATCCGTTTGCGTTCAAAACCAAAAACGCCCATGTCTAAATTTTATGGCTTGGATGCTGGTCCTTTAAGCCACGTCTTCGTCTATTCCTGATTCTTTATCTAAATGTTTATTTATAGTGGCTTTCACATATTTGAATAGTATAGGAAAATTCTTGGGATTTTTCAAATAGTCTTCTAGGCGGCGGGAGACATTATTTACATTTTCACTTATTTCACAAAGTTCGCTTGCTAATAAAAGCCGTTGAATACTAAATTGACAGCATTCAAATATCAAATGATAATTATATGTCACCGGTAGCAGTATTACAATACGGGCACATACTATCAGATATTATCTTCAGTTTTCCCAAATGAGCTGGTGTTTTGTGGTGGCCAAATCGCAGGCGATTTATTGTGGTGATAAAGTCACGGCTGGCTATTTTCAGCGTTGCATACCATGGCTTAGAAGGTATCTTCTCTTGTATGCTTCCATACCATTTGACTTTATTTTGTTGATCTTGTTTCCACAATTTATTCCACAATTGATCTCAGACCAAATAAAAACTATAGACGGCATGGACGTATAAAAAAAGGCGGACAGAATCCCGGTAAACAACAAACTGTGTCGCTCAGAGTCGGCCAGGTCGCTATACGTACAAGCCGGCACACACACATTCACACCATAGTCAGCCATTACGCGTGCAAACGTCAAAGCAGCCGACACGTTACGTGGAGATAAAAATAAGTTAAACAAGATGTCTTGCGTGGTAAAATGGTGTAAAAACCGTAGTGACCGAAAGAAAAAAAATCCAAAAATCACGTTTCATAGGCAAATGAATTATTTAATCACTTTTTTCCAGTTTTTAGAAATCGAATTCAATTTTCATTCTAAGGACAAAATGATTAGTCTAAAGCCCAGTGTTGCCAATGTTCATGTAACCATATTACCTAAAATATGGGAAATTGGGTTGACAATAACTTCAATCTATTATTTATTATTCTTTTTTATCAGATTTCCTAAAGAAAATGTAGTATGGAGAAATGACTGGAAAATGAATGATTTCCAAACAATTAAGTAGTAGTGTCATTTTTAGTCTTCATTTTGAAGCTCAAGACTTATATACAACTAAAGGAGGACTGCGACTGGACGGCGTGTTATTACGTATGCATTACCTCAAAAGGTTGATTAAAATTTTTAACCGATTTCGAAAAGAAAGAGGTTCGCAATGCGTCATATTTGTTTTTTTTATTGTTGTTCGCGCAGATCTCCGAGATTCGTGGACCGTTCATGATGATTCTTTTTTTGTTTTAATCAGTTTACTAGCGAGATGGCTGCATATTAATTTACTGGAGATCTGAAGAGTACTTTCGGAGGAAAACAATGGAACTCCTCAATTACAAACAGTACTCAATGGGTGTTAGTTTATTTTAAGAAATATGAAAGAGAATGTAGGCCAGGACATCTATATTTAGTTGATTTACCCAATATTGAGAAAATTCGATACATTCTAGAATTTCTAATGAGTCCCGACTGTTAAAGTAACTTTGTTCCTTATTAAACAGAATTCTAGACTACTGGACTTGTTTTTTTTCTTTTTAGTACATTATTTTTTATTTTCGACATTTTAATTTCATTATTTTTAATTACACGAGTTGTATATTTTCTAAATATATTTTTAAAACCCTTCACTTTGATACCTCGCTTGACGGGTTATAAAAATACTTATACTTTTTTTTTCAAAATGTTTCATTTTGGCGCATAAAATCTGTTATTTTGATTTTTTGAAATTTTTATATACCGAGTGCCACTCACACAATCACGACAAATCAAATGACACCTCGCATGTCAAAATCCGTCAAGACGTTCAGGCTGTAGGGCGTGCCAAATTATTGGACATACATACATACATGCATGCATACGCTCGAAAAACATTATCCTCCGCAGTTGGGCAAAAAGTAAAATTTTGAACAATCAAAATATTTTCATGTTTTTACTGTGTTTTATTGGTAAAAACCTAGCAACCCTACAATTCACTCACTCATCAATAGCCGCCGCCATTACGGTGCCTCAGTATTGTCTTAGCCGAAACTCTGTCCGCCTTTTTTATACGTCCTTGATAGACGGAGTCTGCCGAACCAAAAAGTGAAGCCGATAAAACTACGCCTCGTCGTGTACATACACAGTTACACGCACACACATGCAACGAAACTACGCCTTGGATTCTCAGTCGAGCTATCCCGACGCGCGGAGTGTGACGTAATAATAAATAACAATATTTATTAGAGAAAATGCCGAATTGTGTAGTGAAAACGTGTAAAAACCAATCTTCCAAGAATAAAAAACAGGATGGAATCACATTTCATACGTAAGTAAAGTTATAAACTGCTATTTTCAATTAATCAAAATCAAAATTGAGATTGTCGCTTTGTAAACAAAACCTGAACGAAATGTTGCCATGATTATTCGTTACAGTTTTACCCTTTTGTTGGGTAGCGTGAAATATAACGTAACGTTATTTTATTAAATACATTGTGTAGCATACTTTTATATTATTCGAATATTGTAATGCATGGATAAACAATTACACGAAACATCTTTTTTCTTTATGTATTCGTATAAATTTTTTGGGATGTAATACATATTATATATTATACGTTTTTTTTAAGATTTCCTAATCGAGATCAAGATCTAAAAGAGAAGTGGATTGCAGTCATTCGTAAGAGTAGAAATGAACCATTGTGGCAACCAGCTTCCCGCAGCGTGGTTTGTTCGACTCATTTTCAGAGCGACGATTTGTACTACACAACAAAAGGGTTACGTCGTGTAAAACAAAATGCATATCCAAAGGTATTTTTTTTACTATTATTATGGTTACTTAGATTAATTTATATTTTAAAGATTCCAATAATTTATTTGCTAACTGCTTATTGTTTGTACAAGTCCCACCATCTATCATGTTGTGGTAGAACTATTTGCTTCAGTTTCCCCATAAGTATCATTGTTCATTAAAAGTATTAGTACAATAGTAAAAATAATGTTAATTTGGTACTTAGCTAATTTTAAACTCAACCTTGACCGCAACTGTGCACACTAGAAAAATGCCTCATCTAATTTGCACACCGTTTTAAGACGCATCTACTTTTTAATGGCCTTTTTGACCCAAAATTCGCGATGTTTGTGGATTTATTTTATTATGTTCTTGTATAGGAACTAGTGATTATATTTTGTGTATTCTATAGAAAATTTCATGTACATTTTAATAAAAGAAACTGTTTATCAACATTTGTATATGCTTTTCGTTTTATCGACATAAAGTTGAGATGACTGATTTGGTAGCGATTTCAAGTGCCTTGTTGCGAGTGCTTGAAACTATAAAATGAACAAACCTATTCCATCCGAGACTTGTAACTAAAGTAAAATAAACAATCCAACATAATTAAACGTCAACACATAAATCAAGGCACTTGGATCTCGCATTTGTTTTTATCAACACTTGAAACACGACCCTTTTTTTTCTGTTGCGTGTTATATTTTATAATTGTATTTGGTAAGTTATTATATACATTTATTTATATATAGTACATTCTATATGTACAAAAACCTGGATTTATAATTTACAAATTTTGAAAATATACCTCATTTTACCTATTTAAAAGACTTTTTTTTATCTTTCCTGAGTTTACCATAATGTAATTAAAATAAATTATAGACATGACGCATTGTGTACACACTGTTTTATTGAAAATTTTATGGAGAATCCAAATATACGTTTGTGAAGGGTATTTTTACAAAATAACAGACAAATCGGCAGAACAATGCAATCGTTCCCACCCAGCGGGCGGGCGGTCCATAAAGAAGTCCGGCACTTGTAGGTGAGAACGGCGCATGACCTTTGGCTCACGAGAGGTTTAGAGAATAAGCTTACGATATTTTTTTCTAATATTTTATAACGTTATAGAATAACGTTATTACATTTTTCTAATATTGGGGTGTTTTATATGACTATGGTAACACTGGCTAATGCACTACATACATAAAAAACCGGCTTCACTTTTTGGTTCGGCAGACTCCGTCTTTACTTTTTATTTGGTCTGAGCAATTGATAAATATCCTTCCGTATTTCAGTATAATAATCAGTAAAAGGTACAGATATTAAGGAACTCAAGTCCATAGAATTGATCCCATCATGTGCAGTCCTATCAGCTATTTCGTTTCCAGTGATACCTTTGTGTGATGGTATCCACATAAAAGAAACTTCAATTCCTTTCAGAAGTAACCTATGTACAAGCTCTCTAATACTATACAGAATATAATTAATCTTGTAATGAACTTTATGACATTCTAAACTTATAATCAACTAAGAGAATCGGTTAAAATGAGAAAATAATTATAGTTATTTACAGTAAAAATTCGCTTAAGAGCCTCTGGGACTGCATACGCCTCTGCTGTAAATATGCTACATGCATTATCAAGAACAAAGCTTTGCGAGAATTTGATCTGGGGGTCATAAACAGAGCTTCTAACATATAAGTTTGATTTACTGCCATCTGTATATAAAGTGTAATAGTGATGCTCATCTAAAAAGGCTAGTAGGTCTTGATTATTGAAAATTAGACTTTCAATAATCCTAATTTCATTCATCTGAATAAGAAAGTGATTTGAATAAAAGGGCCATAATGATTTCTTTTGTAATCTATGATATTTATTTTGTAAGTAGAATAGAATATCGGACAACTTAGAGGATGTACCTATCTGCAGATCACAATACGTTAAAAAACGAGAGGGCGCGCAAACAGTAAACAAACAGCTCCGTAATTAAGTCTTCTTAAAAATTGTTTATGTTCATATTTTTGCTTAAGTGTTGGTGCCGAATATTCATAAGTATTTCATTTTGAAGTGGAAATATTATTTAATGTAAATTCAATCCGGAAACAATGTAAATATAACAAAGTGATCCAGTGTAGATAAAAAGTAAACAGTGATAAAGAAAGGAACTGCACAATATAAACAAGTGTGTTAGATATATAATAACAATAACAAAAATCGTAAACAACAGTGTGT